ATTATTATCATTATTATCATTATCATTTATTTTTTTTCTGCAAAAGATGAATCGGAGTTATCCAGTGTTTTTTCTGAGATTAGACCCAGCATAAAATCAGTGACGTAGTTGATGCCCTGGGTACAATGGAATGAATCGTACCCAGGGACGGGAGGGTGGGCAAAGGGCAGCGTTATGTTATCCACTACGCATTACCAAGATCTGTCTATCTATCTATCTATCTATTTATCTATCTATCTAGATAGATATATATATAAAGAGAGAGAAGCGAAAGACATACAGAGAGAGAGAGAGAGAGAGAGAGAGAGAGAGAGAGAGAGAGAGAGAGAGAGAGAGAGAGAGAGAGAGAGAGAGAGAGAGAGAGAGAGAGAGAGAGAGCGAGAACGAGAGCGAGAGAGAGAGAGAAAAGAGAGAGAGAAATAGATAGGACAACGATACCCACCCAGACCATTCTTAAACCTCCCAAAGACAACAAACAGATGGCACAGAGGCAGAAAGAGCGACCACCCGCCAACCCATTCTCATCGTCCAGCCGTGACAATTGTACACCTGGCACCTGCGCTCGAAGCTTTCCCGGGCGTCACTGTCTCCAATGACACCGCGGCCCTCTGCCTCGTGCATCATTCCTCAAGGATTTCTACGGCGACCTTGATGCGAGTTCTTTCTTGCAACTTTAATGAACTCCTAAACGCGATGGTCTCTTTATAGTCATGCTGTGCCACGATAGGTCTTTATGTTTGGTCATAAGACACTATACACAATATAATTTTTTGGAAAGGCAAAGAACTGTATTATTATTAATATTATTATTATGATGATGATCATGATATTGATTATTATTATCATTGTCATTATGATTATTATTATCATTGTCATTATGATTATTATTATCATTGTCATTATGATAATTATTATCATTGTCATTATGATTATTATTATCATCATTACTGTTTTTGCTACGCTATACGCTTTTACGTCTGATGCAAACGTTATTAAGTCACTTGTTATGAAACTTCCGATACAAATAGTGGTTAGCAACAGATAGACTATTGATATCCCGTTTTCTATTGAGACGCCATTTTCTAAGCCTTTACTCATATGGTCGCGGTCTTACCGTTTTCTTTACTGGGCATTTATGCAATTCCCTCTCTGTCACCTTTTATGGCTTTATAACAGACGAGAGATTACCGTATATTATGTATGGTCTGTGTATATAACAATATTTAAATACACCATTTTATGCTAAATTTACGCTCTATATTCACTCTCCCAACGTCAGCTCTCTGCTTAGTATTCCTGTTTGGCGACCAGTCAAATGGGACAACGACATTCACATCACATACACAAAAATGCACACATACCCACCCAACCACCCACCTATACACACACACACACACATGCACATACACACACACACTTATATACATGTATATATACATACATGTGTGTGTGTGTGTGTGTGTGTGTGTGTGTGTGTGTGTGTGGAATGTCATTTCCGAAATCCCCAATTTTAATAATTTCGATTTATAAAAAGGAAAAGGAGTATTTTTTCTCCACAGTGTATCAACCTAGTCGATTTTTTTCTTTATCTATAGACACTACAGAATACAACAAACTAAAATTGAGTGAGGGAGATAAATGAAGAAAAAGAAATGACTGCGATTCCCGTTTTCTTCATCTCCGTTTTCTTTACCTCCGAGATTTGACCGTCCCCCCCCTCGTCCTCCCGTCTTGCCTGAAAAGACACTATTAATGAAAGTACACACATACAATACTACATACGCGCATTTACTTAAGAAATACTGCTATATGCTTGTTACACTGTATGGTGATTTAATATACGATGTTGTGGAAAATATCTACGTTTCAGATTTTCCTTCCTACATCGATATCAGTATAAAGAAAAGATGAGTAAATGAATGAATGAATAGATGGTTGAATGAATAAACAAATTAATAAATGGGTAAATAGATAGATGAATGAATGAATAAAACAAAATATTTATTCAGATATTTGTATTTTCTTATCTTTCTTTCTTTCTTTCTGATTTATTGATCTACATTTCTTTCTTTCTTTCTTTTTTTTTGTTTTTGTTTAGGAAATTGTATAGTAGAAATCGTTAAATTAATTAGATTTAGCTCAGCACGTTCTCTTAAGACTAAAACCATGAAAGAGTAACCTTTTTAAAAAAATAATTAAATAATAAAAAAATAATATACATATGCATACACACACACACACACACACACACACACACACACACACACACACACACACACACACACACACACACACACACATATATATATATATATATATATATATATATATATATATATATATATATATATATATGTATACACACACACACACACACACACACACACATACACACACACACACACACACACACTCACACACACACACACACACACACACACATATATATATATATATATATGTATACACACACACACACACACACACACACACACACACACACACACACACACACACACATATATATATATATATATATATATATATATATATATATATTTATTTGTTTATGTTTTCATATATATGTATATATATATA